CTGCATATTTGCAAGGTGGATGTGAGAGGATGTCAATGGACTGGGGGTGGAGAGTGCGGTAAGATGCAAGGAATGCTACACATGGGCAGGCAGGGAAGTTTGCACAGTGACACGTGGCAGAGATCAGGATCCCATAGTGGAACAACTATGGAAGCAATGGTCGAGGAGTTATAGCTGCTCTGCGAGGCTTCAGTGCTAACCTGCTCTATCTACCTAGCAGATCTCCAGCAGGAGGACCACTGTCCCTTCCATGACCTGTCCTTTTGAGAGGTCCTCTCACTGTAGGATTTGGCAGTGCATATATGAGCTGATATTTTTCTCTGGCTTACCTAATTTGGCAAGTTTTAAGAAGGTTTTTTTTTTAACTAGAAAATTGGAATGAAGCAGAAAATTTAAAAGAAAAGAAAAATGTCTTACTTTCAGCCTACTTCGTATAGTCCCAGGGTTTTGGTTGGTTAGAGTGTACCTGGTAGCACTCCTGAGTCCTGTTCTAGTTTCTCTCCCCCCGCCCCCCGCTGCTCAGACCACTGACTTGAGCTAGTTTAAGCAGGGGGAGGTGGAGAGGATCCCTCTCCATTCATATCTTGGACTTCTATCTGAAAAGAGCTTTCTGGCAGCAGTCTGTGATGGGCTCCACCTCTGTGAAAGCATCTTAGACTCTTTCGAGTTTGTTTAGTCAGCATTCTCTAGAGGAACAGAATCCACAGGAAGTATAATTATAAAAAGGGGGCTTCTTAGGTTGGCTTATGTGACTAGAAGCTGGATAGTCCACAATGGCTGTCTGTGGGCTGGAGAGCTGGACRAACCAGTAGCTGCACAGTTCAAGAAGCTGAAGCCCCCAAACAAGAGGGATCAATGGTGCTACCCTAGCTCAAGACCAAAGGCTTCTGTGAATTACTGTTAGAGCCAGGTTTGGAAGAGTGAAAAAGCTAGAGTGTGATATCCTCAGATGATTGCACCAGCAATCTAGAACCCGTTCAAGAAGAATGGAGCTTGCATCTGCTGCTGCTTCCTTCTTTCTTCTTCCAACTTTTATTCCATTCAAGCCATCATCCTTTTGGACAGTGCTGCCCACACTTTGGAAGGGTCTCCATTTTAATTGGCTATCCCACATGCCAATCATTCCTAAACATACCCTCATTGACACTCATATAAGCTTCTTAGTCCTTGGCATCTCTTAATTCAATCAAGTTGACAATTCAAAGTAACCATTACAGAGTTCTTTCTGATGTCCAGCCCTTTTGGATGGGCCATTCTGACCTGGTCTCTGGTAATCCTCCTGGGGTTACTGATCAGCCCACTCTTGTCCTGTGGCAACCTCTGTACAACTCTGATTCTGAGTCTTTGGAATTCCTACATTCATGTCAATCAACTTCTTTCTGTGGCCTTTGATTGGACTGAGAGACATTCCCCAAACAGAAATTAAAGGGAATTTACCCTAATGTCTTCCTCTGCAGTGTGTGCCAACCTCTCAAATGGCATCCATCCACCCACAGGTCCTGTCTTTTCCCAGCTCAGAACTGAGTAGGTTTCTTGTGTTCTTTTTCTTGAGCACGTTTGAATGACTTCAGATGAAAAGGAAGAAAACTCTGAAGATTGTGAAAGAAAAACAGACAAGAGAGGCACAGAAAGCAAATAAACTATAAAGGGCTTCCCTGTGTGTTCCTCTCATTATAGAATGAYTTCCTATAGATATGAGCAGTTTCCAAACTCAGGGGTACTAACAATGATTGACTCAAGGGAAGAACACGATAATGAATTTAGAAGAATGAGAACACAAAATTTATTGATCGATTTCTGTATGTCAGTTGTTTTTTACACACCTCCTATTTAATCTCTGCTTTACGGRGGAGGAATTTTAAAAAGGCAACCACTAAGCTGAAAGGCTAATAAGGTCAGAGTGGAGCCCAGATGCAAGGCTGGCCCCACTGAGGGAGTTGTCTTCTCCCCATGACTGCATCCTGTCATCTCCACTTTTACCCCAGGTACTCTTATTTGCTTTCCATGTATCCTCTCCGTTTTTTTTAGTTGGGCAAACCTATTTTGAGTTTTTATTAAGGAAGATACTCTCCAATTTAAGGAAAGGTATAGGAGACACAATTACATTGTGAAGCTGGTTGTCACAGCTTCACAATTTAATATTACAAAGCCATCATAATTCAAAGCACTGCTAGCTTGGTAATTCACTTCATTAATGGTGCTGCCTGAATAAAACAGAGCAAATTAGAAATAAACAAATCCTTGGAAAGTATTATAATATATCCAGAAAGCTCAAAAGGTGAGGCATATAGTCAGAAGGAGAGAGAGAGAGGGGAAGAAAGTGGTGGGGAAAGAAATCATAACAGGATTAAGAGGGATTTTGTGAGCCCATATGTACACTGACCCAGTATTTTTAGAAAGCATTTCTGAGAAATATTGGAGAATTAATTATGAACCTGTCTTGTTTATATCTTTATATCTTCCTCTCCCTCACCTCCCACGTGCAATATACTATGAGATCTTGCGTGTCTTACCTCCAGAATAGATCTCAAGTTTGTCTACTTCTCTTCTTTCTGATGAACAAAGGTGTGGTGCAGTCTCCAGCGCACACCCATATCAGGTTTTCTTTTCTGGGCACAYAGAATAATTGCTTTTTTCTGTTTCTCACCTTGCCATCATATGGGGCATTAGTTCTGGCCAATGATACATCTTACCTCTGGGCCCAAACATTCAGATGCAGGGTCAGACCTTCTAGCACTTTGTCCTTCCACAGCAATTATTGAAGCATATTGTTGAAACAAAGATATAGCAAGACTGAAATAATTTGAGTCTATGTGCTAGAGCCAATAGGATACATATAGCTATATAGAATGAGTTATGATGAAGAATTGGCTCTGATTATGGAGGCAAAGAAGTTCCATGATGAGCTGTATGCAAGTCAGAGACCCTGGAAGGCTGATGGTGTAGTTCAGGCCAAATCCCTGTGAACAATTTGGTGGAAATTCCATTCTGGCTCCAAAGACCCAAGAATCATCTGGCATAAGTCCCAGTCTAGATCTCACAGCCTGAGAACCAGAAGCATTGATATTGGAGGACAAGAGAAGTTGTATGTCYCAACTCCAGAAAAGAGAGTGAATTTATCCTTCCCTCTCTCTTGTTCTATTCTGGCTCTCAATGGACTGGGGTGATGCCCACCTGCATTGGTGAAGGTGGATGCTCTTTACTCAGGCTACCAACTCAAATGCTAATTTATTACAGAAATACTCTCTAGGGACACTCAGAAACCATGTTTAACCAACTATCTGGACACTCCTGAGTCCAATCAAGTGCACAAAAAATTAAAAACCTTCACAATCTCTAAGTGCATGGGACACAGCAGCCCCCAAGGCTACCCATACATGCAGTGAGCATTTTATGAGAGAGGAAAAAACCCTTTGCTTTACAAAGCAACTGAGAGATTGGTGTTGTTTGTTATTACATTATAGAAAAGCATTACTCTATCCTGAGTAGGAAGACTCACTGCCATCACCATTCTCCTGAAATCCTGCCCTAACTTCCTAACTTTTCCATTTCCCTTCCAGTCCTATTACCACTCATTTCTCTGCAAAGTAGTCACAGTGAATCTTTTAAAATATACATTAAGTCACACCACTTCCCTGTCAAAAAAAAAAAATTCCATTGCTCCCCTTTGTTATTAGGATAAATTCTAAGCTCTTCAATTTAGTTTCTTAGGCCTACAGGGTCTGGCCCTAGCTTATCCTTCCAAACATTCCATAGCTCTTTCTCCTTTAGTCTCAATGTCCTTCTTTCCTTTCCCCAAACATTCTAGGCTTTTCCTTTTGCATATGCTTTTGCCTCTGTCTGAAACGTTCTCACCACTTCCACCGACTTCTCAAATTTCACCTAGCTCATTTGGATCGTCCTTGGAATTTCCATCCCAATGACACCCTGTCAGAGGCCTCCTCTGACCCCTCARTGTGAATAATGAATAAGTCTCCATGTTCCTCTGTTCCACACCACCCACTCTATTTCAACTTTACTAATCACATCTGATATTCCTATATTCATTTTTTTGGTTATTTGTTTAATAAATACCTTTCTCCTCAATCAAACCGCAGGCTCCACTAGGAAAAGGGACCATATCTGTTTTCCCCCACCTCTGTGTCCTAAGCATCAGAACCCTAGATCCCCGGCTCATAGTAGATGCTTAAGACGTTATTTCAGTGTAACTCAGTAAAGGCATTAACAGTAAGTCAGAGTTGTGTGCATATTTTTAACATCTGAAGAAAGTGATACTGTATTTTCTGAGCTCCTGCTTGTCCGAGGCCTGGTGTCAGGTGCTTTACAATGTTTTRTGTGGGATGTATACATCATGGTGATAACACTATGAAGTGAGGACCATTATCTTTGCACTAGAGATGCAGAAGCCTATTCCTGGGGCAGTTAAATGACATGCCCATGTCCAAGCGCCTTATTGTGTCCAAGGCTCCAAAACCCATGTCCTTAGTCTACTTTTGGGTTCGGTTTTGTTCTACCTTAATTTTCCAAGTTCAAAAAGTAAGAGCACCAGGTCCTATGTCACAGCTATAAGGTCAGCTTTACCCATGTTCTTTAGTCAAGAACTATTAATCTTTTGGATCTGCATGCTTCCTACCTGAGACAACATCTTTTTAAAATAAACACTATTTACATAGGTGGTAATTAAATCTGTTCAGTAGTAACCTGTTCATTATAAATATTAACCTCAAAATATGAAAACCTGGAAATATGACATCTTCAACAAAGTTTTTTTTTGCAGCTTTACTTCATAGTGTAAACTGTTTTCTTTTCTTTTTTTTTTTAATTTAGACTCCTCAGAGGTGAAAATATCAATTTCCTTTTCCCTGGAGAAATCCAATAATGGAATGAAAGTCAGACTTCATTTGGATGCCCTTTATCAATTAAATCTGATTTTGTCTAACAATATCTTATACACTTTCATTTTAAATCAATCTTTTCTTTTAATCTCTTTCATGAAACAGCACATATCTGGATGAGAAGTCACTCCAACTGACAGAGAAATGCAAAAATCTGCAATCTGACCTCAATTCTTTATTTAACAGAACGAAAAGGTAAGTTCTACTTTTCACATATTTAATTTAATTTTAAATATGCGTCCCCAAACATCTCTGAAATAATTTAGAAAATAAGACTCTATTCATGTTCAGGCTTGACATTGGGCTCTGAGTAGCTCCTGTTGGTGACAAGGATGGACCAGGGACCAAATGGCCCAGAGCTGGGTCACACCCTGGAGATGGACCTCAACTTATCTGTCCCTAAATCTTCACTAAGTAAGAAATACTGTGTAGTGTTTTTAAAGGCCCCCAACCCTTTTTAAAATATGATATTCATCCTGGACACTATCCTAGAAAAATGCCTCCTTGTACGAATTTTGGTTACAATTTCAGGTTAGTGGTACATCCCCAGCCACAGCCCTCCCCGACTTCCCTGCTTTGGTTTACAATCTGCATGAGAGAGCCCACTATCTCTTCTTCAACCTGAGGGCAAATGAATCCAGCTCCTTGCTTCACACATAGGGAGAGCCACTGTTGGCTTGAGAATCCGATGTGTTTTGATGGTACCTGGAAAGAGCAGGGTCTAACAATGTTGGACAAAGGATGTGCATTTGGTGCTGGGCGTGTGGCTATGCCTTTAATTTGCCAGTAAATGGATGAAAAAAGTAACCTGAGCTTCAGTTTGCTGTATGCTTGTTTGACAAATTTAGAAGCTTGTTTAGCTAAAAGGTATCGTTGATTTCATCATCCAGGGGTCCTTCCTCCTCCATATTTCTCTCTCTCTCTTACACACACACACACACACATACACACACACACACACACACACACACACACTTCCTTTTCTAATTTAAAAAAATAGTGCTTTAGTGCTTGTGGGAGGAAGGAGTTGAAGCAGCCCCCTGTAATCTGTTCACTTCCTTCCCTGGGGATATGGGAGGCTGATACCAGAGGAAATGAAACCAAAGTAAGTAACCTCATCTAACCTGATTTTCAAGTGAAACTCTAGGAAAGTAGATTTAGAACATTTGCTTGAAGGAAGACGCCTTATTCTTCAACTGTCCTTAGAAGGCTGACCTTTGGCTAAGGGAGCATTTATAGTAAATGGAACCCGTGACCCAGGAGGCACGTGCCCCTGGAGAATGGCACATGGGCTATGAAACTCCTTGGGTACAAGAAACAAGTGTTTCATAATTTAAATTCTGCTGTGTGAAGAATCCCCTGAACTTCACTCAGAGATACCACCTACTGTTCTGGGTCAGGCCCAGTGTGGGAAGACAGGACAGGAATGGCCACCTTTGGTGTCCCAGGCCTCTCAGTCTGAACCTCTTGACTACCTAGACTCTTGCATTTATTAAAATGCTTCATTCTAGGTTTGAGCTCTGAGCTGAATTAGTGCAGTTCAACAACGCAGGCCTGTAAATTGGCTCCATTTATTATGGAAGGGGAGACCTGTTAGCATTTTTGTATGAGCTCTAAGCTTGATAAAAGAACCCATTGTGATGAGTCCCTTCCATTAACCCCACCAAATGCCCTACCCTGCTTCCCTGTGGGTTAGTCTTTGTCTTTGCCCAGAAACGTTGGCCTAAGTGGACTTCATCAGTATGCTCTGGGCTCTTTTTTCAAAATATTTTTTAGTTGTCAATGGGCCTTATTTTATTTATTTATATCGGGTACTGAGAATCAAACCCAGTGCTTCACACATACTAGGTGAGCACTCTGTCTCTGAGCCACAACCCCAGCTCCACTCTGGGCTCTTTTGACATCGTTTTATCTTTGGATTTGACCAAGTTGGTGCATGAGAAAGAGATTAGAGAGAGGTGGAGAAGGTAAAACAGCTCTCTCCTGCTGTCATTATTGCAGGTTAACCATATCCTCGATGAAGTTATCGGAAAAAAAAGGTCACGACTTTTATTCAATCTCTTTCTCCCTCTCCTGTTCTTTTATTGCCCCTTATTTTCATTCTCTTTTTTTCTCTGTCTCCAATTTAGGGATTAGTTATTAATAGTCCTTCATCCTGCCCAAAACCTTTGGGAACAGTCCCTTCATTAAGGCCTTCTTAAATTCGACAGTTTGAAGGGTACTAGTGCCCTTTGACAAATGAATGGATAAAGAAAACATGGTACATATACACAGTGGAATATTACTCAGCCACAAAGAAGAATGAAATTATGGCATTTGCTGGTAAATGGATGAAACTGGAGACCATCATGCTAAGTGAAATAAGCCAATCCCCCAAACCAAAGGCTGAAGGGAGGGTAGGGAGGAGAAAAAGAGAAGTTCATTGGATTAGACAAATGGGAATAAAGGGAAGGGAATGGGGATGGAAATAGGAAAGACATAACTTTCCTATGTTCATACACAAACATACGACCAGTGTAACTCCAAATCATGTATAACTACAAGAATGGGATCCTAATTGAAATGGATTGTACTCCATGTAAGTATAATATGTCAAAACACACTCTACTGTAAATCTAAAATTAAAAAAAAAATTCCATGGTTTGAGCTGGCTGTGGATCCTGCCCAGACCCCRGGTTCCTATAGACTGTCTGGAGCTCATGCCTTGTGGATGGTGCTTTATGTCTGTTTTGATTGTATTGGACCTGTTGTTTGTTGGGTGTGTGGGTGTTACAAGACCCAGTCAAACTTTTCCTAAGTGACTCTTCTCCCAAATATCTTGCACTACCTTTCACCCATCAGATGTGATGTGAAGGAGGCTTGAAAAGTACAACTGGGAACAGTTGAGGTTTGCTCCAGCATACCCCTGTGGACCCCGGTCAGTGCTCGCCCAGCGTGCACATCAGCCTGACACTTGCCTTTRATTCTGTTCATTTCTTTCATTGACATGAACCATGTTTGCTCCACAAAGTGACAAGGGTCTTCAACGTTAGAATGATCCATGTGTGCCCATGTGGCAAAGCACTGAGTCATCCTCGGGGTGACTTCTCTTATCACGGATGGCCTCTTTTTCAAGGCAGGGAATTTACCGCTCCTTTGTGTGCATCAAGAGCAGCAGCTAAGGGCAGTATGCTAATGAGAATGCCCAGGCACATGCTGTCCTGTTTGCTCTTTGGGTTTTTCTTTTCCCCGTTGTTTTGAATTTGATGGGAAGACCTTTTCTCAGCTACTCTTTAGGGGGTTGCCTTTCCATTATGCACACAATTTTCAGCTAGCTCATATAATTAGCCTGAGCCGGTATTCTTTGCGGCAAAGGTCTAGAGAGAGCAGGCTTGAATTGCCCATTGTTGTGAAAGTGTTATTTTGCACACAGGAGACTAATTTTTTTCAGTTGTATCGTCTATTGTCAGGAATGGTGCGTTCTGCAACGAGCGCCATTATGGACTTACAGGGGACAATTGGGAAAGCCATTCAGTGGATGGTGATAAAAAAGTAATTTCATTTTCTTAGAAATAATTATTTAGCCCTATTTTTGTCACGGTCTGGTAAAGACTTAGAATTTTCTCTTTCTTCAGCCAATTTGTCCCTTTCAGGTTGCTAAAATAGAATTTAGAAAGACAGTTATAGTGGGAGGGAAATGGTTTTTTTTTTCTTTCCTCTGCTAGTCTTGGTGCATTTTTGAATAAAAGAAAATTAAGCTTCTGCCATTAGGACATCCAGTGCAATATGATGTTATGGATTGTGATTATTTATTCTCTTTTTAGGACAGCGAGCTCCAAGATAGAAAGAACACTGTCTCGTTCACCGTTCTATCCCTGGTGCTCATCATGAGCYTGAGCACCAATTAGTTGCTCAGGAAACGTGTTGAATGAACAAAGGAATGAATGAATTTCTTAGGTCATYAAAACATTTTCTGTGCCATCTCTAACTTCTAGGTGTTAAAAACTATGTATAAATYCACAAACTTCAACTCCTTTTGGAAATCAGTTTTACCTTCTTTGACTCCTTCTCTTACTTCGTTTCTGTTTTCTGATTTTTTTTTTTTTTTACCTTCTCCTTTTCCCCTAAAAGCTGGATATTTCTATGGGTTTTTGTCATTGCCATTCTTTTCACTAGGTTATCTCCCAGATGAAATAWTACACTGTATTAAGAGTGCTATGTAGCCATCTTATCGTTGCTAGTTTGCTCATTTTTCAGTATGGCAAACTTATTGTTTGCAATTTTTATTGCTTACGACTTTTTTTTTTTTAAATGGCTCTATGGATGTTCAAGTTGTCTATCTTATTCCTTATTGCTTCAGAAAAATGAAGTGATTTTTCTAAGAGCAGACACTTCAGAGGTRCTGACCCAGGAAATGAACTCAATTCCCCTTCTTGGGTTTTTCTGCCTCTCTTGYTGTGTTAATCAGCTTTCCATTACTGTAACAAATTCCTGAGATAAATYAACTTGTAAAAAAAAAATGAGATTTATTTTGGCTCACAGTTTTGGAAGTTCCTGGCCATGGTTGAACAGACACATTATGTTTAGACCTCTGGTGGGGGTACAGCATATCACAGGGGGAGCATGTGGAACAAAGCCACTCCACTCATGACCGCAATACAGAAGAGCAGAGACCTGGTTCCCACAGTCCTCTTTGAGGGYATGTCCCCAATGACCTAAAACTTTGCACTAGATCCCACTCCTTAAGAATTTCCCACCTCTCAATCATGTCAAGCTGGAACCAGCTCTTTAACACATGGGCCTTTGGGGGGCAGTTTAAGGTCCAAACTATAGCTTTTGCTGAGCTTTCTTGGCCTGGTGGTCCTCTGCCATTATTATTCTAAGAATCTGAGCTCTCAAGCAAATGTACAGTTGCATCTGTTTAGATTTTACCATTTAGTCAGAGTAGGTGAACTACTCTAGCAAAACCTCACAAAATGTAATGTCTTAACACAAGTGTTTTTCTGCTACCCAGGGTTCAGTATCCTTCTTGATCTAGCAATTCTTCTTAGGTGGCTCTTCCCCCACACTCTGACTTAAGGGTTCTGGCTCCTTTTGAAGCTGTTCCAGTGCAGCCATCTTCAACAAGTGGTGCCCAGACTTGTGGCAAAGGGAAGATAACATGAAAGCCTATCCTCCACACAGCTTGGAGGGGAATTCAATAACTAGTCACCACC